AGTGACAGGTGTGTTCCCAGCGTCTCACCGGGACCCCCACACTGCGGCCTCAGCGGCAGGATTGTGCTGGTGTGGGGGGCCTCTGTTGGGAGGGGGTGGGGCCGTGACGGGGTCAGGACAGGGCCCTGGTCACTTGGCAGCGAGTGTGGAGGCTTCAGAGGCGCTGGGCCATCAGAGCTCTTGCTGGAAACCCCCAGGCCCGTGGGGAACGGGACCGTCGGTGGCCACGCGGGGTTGACCAGAGCTGGGCCAGTGTGGGCTCAGCGCAGCCTCTGCAGGACCTCCTGTTGGGGGAGCCGCCCTGTGCCCCTCAGCCCTGGGCCAAGGGGCTGAGTCCTCGGCCGGCTGCAGGAGGGCTGGGAGCTCATGGGGCTGGAGGCCCAGGAAGGTTCTGTGCCTGGCGGGCTGGGGCGAGCCCTGTGGGTGCCCAGGGCAGCAATCCTGGGCTCGAGGGGGTCCTCATTTGGAGCACCAGAGGGTTCAGAGGGGCCTATGGGGTGCAGACCCTTCCTGGGGACACCAGGCAGTGGCAGATGGCAGGCCAGGCGGTGGGGCTGTGGGGTCGAAGGGCTGCAGTTGGGTCCAGGTGCTAAGGGGCACAGGGTGAGGGGCGGGAGCCGAGCCCAGCCCAGCTGTGGGGACCCCCTCTCTCAGCACGGCCCCCTGGGACACAGCCCAGCTGTGGGGACGCCCTCTCTCAGCACGGCCCCCCCGGGACACAGCCCAGCTGTGGGGACCCCCTCCCTCANGGACACAGCCCAGCTGTGGGGACCCCCTCCCTCAGCACGGCCCCCCCGGGACACAGCCCAGCTGTGGGGATCCCCTCCCTCAGCACGGCCCCCCCCGGGACACAGCCCAGCTGTGGGGACCCCCTCCCTCAGCACGACCCCCAGGACACAGCCCAGCTGTGGGGGCCCCCTCCCTCAGCACAGCCCCCCCAGGACTCGGCTGGCATGGTGGGGGTGACCCTGGGGCATAGGCTTGGTGGTGCTGAAGCAACAGGACGGTGCAGAGATCGTGTTTGTAACAAAGTAGCCTTTATTGGTCCCTGAGGGTGGGCAGCGTGGCAGGGGCAGCATGGTGGGGCGGGGGGTGGGGCTCGGGTGACCCACCCCCCTGGGGTCTTGTGTTCCTGAGCTCCTTGTGCTCCTCCTGGGCTGTCCCTGGGGAAGGCTCTTGCACCAGGTCCCTGTCGCCCCCGCCTGGCCGCTCAGTGCCTGGGGCCTGGGGCTCCCTGTCGTGGGCGTTGTCAGGGCCCGGGCCGGAGCCAGGGCTGGGTGGCCGGGGCTGCCAGGGGGCCGAGGGAGGTAGTGTGGGTCTGCGGGCACCCGGCCGGGCTGGGGCGTGAGGCTTGGGCAGCCTGGAGGACTCGGCCTGGCGGGGGTCACAGGGGAGCCGGCCGGGAAGGCTGCTCGGGGCCCCAGGACGCAGCCTCTGCTCGGCCTCACCGGTGTGCAGGAGCACGAATCGGCGCTGGGTCCGCAGGGGCAGCATCTTCTGACCGCGCAGGCTCTTCTGGAAGGTCTCCAGCGCCAGGTCTGGTGTGGCCGGAGAGAGAAGGTAAGTGGGGGCAGAGGCTGGGGGTGGGAGGAGCAGGAAGGGGCGGGGAGGGGGGAGGGGGAGGGCCCAGGGGGGCTGAGGTGTGGGGAGACGTTGGGGCGGGCCGGTGCTGCCACGCAGGCCCTGGGGATGTGGGAGAGCCCCGGCTGTGGGGGTCTGAGCTCGGGAAGAGGGCGGGTGGGCAGGCCGTGGGGGTGTGGGGTGGGGGCCTCGAGGCTCACCCAGGGTCTCCATGACCACACCTGGGATGACCTCCTTCAGGACCTTGCAGTTGGTGTGCAGGGCGGGGTTGGAATTCATCTCCAGCAGCCACACCTGCACCAGACACCACTCAGCTCCCTCTCCCATTCACCCCCCACCTGCCCTGAGCCCACGGGGCCTGCAGGAGGCAGAGGCCCGGTCCTCACTCAGCAAGGGGGCCCTGGGAGATCCCTTCCTTTTCTGTAGCCTCACTCCCCTGTCTGCCCACCGAGGCTCTGAGGGTCTGAGGCTCTGGCCTGAGCAGGTACCCTGGGAGGGGTGCAGGTCCATCTCAGCTGCAGAGGAGGGGAGCCTGGTGGACACACCCAGCCCCAGGGCTGCGTGCAGGCAGGGTGGGGGCTGACAGCAGATTCCACCTGGGGCTGCCCATGTGGTCAGGGTGTGCACATGCCCTGCCTCCTGCATCTCCCCACCAGCGTACCCCCACCATGCCCCCGCTGGCAGGACAGCACCTTGAAGTTGTCATCAATCAGGAAGTCACAGCCGATGAGGTCAAAGTAACCCAGCTTGCACTCCAGCTTGGACTTGGCGGCCAGGAAGCAGTGGACCATGATCTGCTGCATCCGCTTCTGCAGGGGGCAGGGAGGCATCGTGGCTGTGGCCTCAGCAGCCACACCCATCGGACCCGCACCTGCACAGCCATACCTGCTCCCGTGTCCGCATGCAGCATCACAGCCCCGCAGCCAGGAGCTCCTTCAACCAACTCCCGGAGCTCCCAGCGAGTATCAGGCACTGGGGGTACAGGGGTGAGGGAAGCTCTGCTCTTGAGCAGCCCGCTCAGTAGAAGAGACGGAAAGCAAATAGGATACATACAATCTGGAATCTGGGCAAGAACAGGGAACTGCAGTATTTTAACGTGCTCTGGGTTCATCCTTTGCTTCCCAGCTCAGTGGTAGCCTCAAAGAATAACAGCATGCATCCCCAGAACTGGAGATGGCAGAATAGGCTTCGTTTATTTACAAGATGTAATAGTTGGTTTTCTTATGTCTGGTAGTTTCTCGGAGGATCCCACTTGAAAGGACTAAAAGAAGATGTGACGGCCGGACGCAGTGGCTCACACCTGTAGTCCCAGCACTTTGGGAGGCTGAGGCGGGAGGATCACCTGAGCCCAGGAGTCTGAGATCAGCCTGGGCAATACAGTGAGACACTCCACCCAGAAGCCCGAGGTACATCCTTCTCAAGTGCACGTGAATTTAAACCAAATAGACCTGACAGATGTTTACAAAACACTCCACCCAAAACCCCATCAAGTGCACGTGAATTTAAACCAGGATAGACCCTGTGCTTGGACATCAACAAGTTTCAGGTGTTTTTTGGTTTTGCTTTTTAATGATCCACTTGATTAACAATAAGTTTGTTTGTTGTTTTTTTAGAGATGGGGTTTCACTGTGTTGCCTAGGCTGGACTCAAATTCCTGGGTTAAGCAATCTTTCCATCTCAGCCTCCTAGGCAGCTGGGATTGCAGGTGTGAGCCACCACACCAGCTCCAATAATTTTTCTATAATTTTTAAAGGGTGGAAATTTGACACAACGGAATGAAATTAGAAACAGAAAGAAACGGGAAATTAACAAATATGTGGAAATTAAATAACATGCTCTTAAGCAACCAATGGGTCAAGGAAAAGCTCACAAAGGAAATTTAAAAATACTTTGTGGCTGGCTGTCATGGCTCACGCCTATAATCCCAGCACTTTGGGATGTTGAGGCAGGCGGATTACCTGAGATCAGGAAGTCAAGACCAGCCTGGCCAACATGGTGAAACCCCATCTCTACTAAAAATACAAAACTCAGCCAGGCGTGGTGGCAGACACCTGCCTTGAGAGTGGCTTGAACCTGGGAGGCGGAGGCTGCAGTGAGCAGAGATCACGCCATTGCACTCCAGCCTGGGTGACACGGCAAGACTCCGTCT